CAGGTGCTGCTGCCTGAGACCTGAGCATCAGCCTGAGGTCCTGGAGCACAGGCTGGTGGAAAGGTTTGGAGCTCACTCGCCCTGAGGAGGAGGTAGAGGTTTCTCATGCTGCTTGCTGGGTGCGTGCCTGTGCTGGTGTGTGTGGGCTGGACCCCAACTACCTCTCACCATGATACAATGGGGTCAGATGGTGAGCAGAGCTGCACAAGGCAGAGTGGCTGGAGGGTGCAATGGGACATCCTGTCCACTTGCTGTCAGGAGGTCAGCCATCCGTGCCAGCTGGACAGCTTGAGGTCCTGGTCTGTTGTGGATCTGAACCACACGGGACATAGAGCCACAGCATCAATGTGATGAGCTTGAGATTCGGTCAGCCCAAGTGCTCAGGCAAGAGGCTGGACCCCGATGACGGATCCAAGGCTGCCTGCTTGCATCTCCTCAGCTGCCTGGCAGGGAAGGTGTGGATCCGGCTTGTCTGGCTGGTGTTGAGACGCCTGATTGTGCAACTGCGAGGGAGGCTTCCAGAGGATCCCGCCTGCCCGGGTTTCCATGGAGAGTATATCCTTGCTAAGGAGGGAGCCGTCTGGCAGACAGTAGGGCCATGAAAATACCAGTAGAGTGCTTGTTTTCCAAAGCACATGAATAACATCCCTAACAGCTAGCAGCCTCACTTCCTCCAGAAGAAGGAAGAAGGTCTGGCAGAGTGACCTGGGATGCCTGGGGTGTCTTTATCATCCCGGCTCCTTGCTGCGCACTGGTCTGAGCATCCCCAGTTTGGCCATATCTGCCCAGCCCAGCCTGGTTTCCCTTCCAGTTGGCAGGCACAGCTCCTCCCTGGCACAGGGCTGCAAGCAGGCAGCAGCCATCTTCGCTGGGGGATGCATTTGGCTTCACTGCTGGAGCGAAGAAAGGGAGCGCTGTAGGCAGCAAACGTGGGGAAGTTTTGCTCCCACGTCCCATGGGATGTGAGGGAAATTGCTTCCCTGAACGAAATGTCCTTTCTCAGATCTCTTGTTATTTTGCATGCGTTGAACGACCAAGGGGAAGCTTAAGAGCTGTTGAGGCAGCAGGCAGTGATGCAAGGCGCGTACAACAGCCCCCGGTGAAGGGAGCTGAGCTTGGGTTTTCATGGCAGTCTCTCAATATTAAATTAAAGCTAAATTCACATCCTAAATGTTATGTTAGCATGAAGTTACAACAGAAAGCACAGAGTACAGAACAGCAATATGAGGGTATAAGATGTGTTACGGGGGTACTATAATAATCCCAAATGAGGCATTTGAAACCCAGGGAATTCCAGATTTAGGGTTTGCATTGTTTTTTTTGGGTTTGTAATTGAAAAACAATCCAAACATGGATCAGGAGCATGTCACTGAGATTGTTTCGGTACCTTTATTCTGTGCTGTGGGGATATGGGCAGACAGAGGGAAAAAGTCTTTTAAAAATTATAGAACCAAATGTGAAATTACAAATGTTAAAATACTGTGATCTGGATTTGAGTGTTAAAGCATAGCAGCTCTCCAGGGTAACGTTAGGGCTGATGGGTCTTGACTGTGCATCTCCATGTCTGGACATATTTGGCTGTCGCTAATGTAACTCACCTCTGTGCCTGATGCTTTGTAAAACTCATAAATGGAGACAGTTGCAAGTCCTGTAGCATAATTTTATTTAAATTAAGTATGTGTACTTGGAACTTTAATTCTATCTTAGTTTATCTTTTTTGTCTTCAGATTTCCACGGTTTTAAAAAGCTATTAAAAGAACCACGGATGACGATTAAAAAAACCCAAAGGAATATAATCATAACATAATTCTGAGGAGCTGTAGTAATAAGGTGATTTTTGTCTGTGTTTTGTAAAAAGAGATTCTTCATTGTGCCAGGACAGAGTGCTTGCGTTGTGTGTGCGCCCACCCCAAGGATGCAAAGTGGGTGGTCAGTTCAGCCCTGATTTTGCAGTGACTGGTGTGCACAGCCCAGCTGGGCAGCTCTGGGCTGTGAAGTGGCACTGCCTGGTGCCGTGAAATCACTTGGCTGGAGGAGTTGGCGGAGCAGCAATGCCCATGGCAGCATGTGGCCACAGTCCCAAGGAAGCTCTTGAGTTGGGAAACCAGCTGGTAAGCCACCACTGGCAGAGCTGTGGTGTTCCTGCAGAGGGAAAACAATGACAGGTTCGTTGAAATAGCTCTGTGGGAGCTATCATAAAGACTGGAAGTTTCCTGTTACTTCCAGTCATACAAGTTATATATGACAGTCATTAATAATTTGGCTTTATCCTAACCCGTGGTACCCGAAGGAACCTGAGCAGATTTGCACTGGGCAGTTTGCCTTCCTGTAATGTCAGGCAGAGCGGTGGGTCTGAAGCACCTTTGAGATCCCGCTGGAATGCAGCTTTGGGGTGTCCTAGGCCGTCATTGCCATGGGATGTCACTGCTAGGCAAAGGTCAGTTCTCTGGTGAAGGAGGAGCATTGCTGCAATGAATATTAGATGAATGATGGTTTTCTTCCCAAGCTGGAGGCAGAGCAGGGCAGCCAAGGGAGGCACAGTGCTACAGAGGCAGCTCCAGTGGTGGTGGGGCAGAACAGAGCTTGAGGTCTCTGGGTGTCTCAGCTGTATTATTTCTGTCCCTTGATACACCTGTTGTTTCTTAGGCTTTGGCAAAAGTTTGGGGATAATGCAGCAGTGTTATGATCCCGATGAATGTGTTTCTGTCACTGCCTGGTGGGGCAGGAGGAGGTGGAGGGCAGAGGTGATGGCCCAGGTCAGGAACAGTGCAGGATCAGCCCTGGTCATGAGCACTCAGCCCTTAGGTTATCCCTGTGCCATGGATGGGGCAGTAGGTGCGACTGCTTCTCCACATCATTTGTACCACCCTCCTTGTCTGGCATTACCTGCAGTCCCTCTGCAGGCTCTGGAAAATCGCCTACATGCCCAGCCCTGCAAGGCCTTGCTGCTTGGGCAGGCTGGATGCAGTAACATGATTTTCTGGGCTGAGTGATTCTTATTATGCCTGTCATACCCTGATTTCTGAGCCTGCTGTGTTCCTTGGGCGTATCAGGAGGGCAGGCACAGCACGGGCCTATTTCCTTAATGACCAGCAGTGAATTGCGTGCACATGTGCAGTGCAGATTTGAGATGCCCTCCATGGCTGTGGTATTTTTTTTCCTGTGGATTTTCCTCATTGGATGAGGTGTTCTCCATTTGTGAAGTCCTTGCCCAGCTGAGCTTCCACCAGAGCTGCATCCTCCCATCTGCATACAGCCCTTATTTTGTGCTCCAATAATTCCAAGGCAACTCTGCTCCCCTCTGAGCTTGGGACACATTTATATAGTGGGCATGTAAGGCTCTGGGGCAAAATGGAGGTGCCCTGCTACTGCTGCTATCTCTCCCAGGGCAAGGACATGTGGCTGAGACAGGACAAGCATCCTGTGACCCGCCACCGAGCAGTGCCTGGTAGCAAGGACCGGGCTGCAAAGCCAGCTTGCCAAGGTGCGGAACCAGCCTCCAGCTGATGCTGCTCTTGCCCAGCTGGAGTGAGGGCGACCACAAGGCAAGCACAGCCTCCACCGCTCCCCTTGCCTAAGTTCCCGGGGAGCACCAGTGCTGGCAGGAGGAGGCGTGGGGGGGGGGGCACTTACATAATCTCTGAATGCAGCAGGCAGCGTGGGGAGGTGAAGCGCAGAGCACTGAAAATCCACACAGCCTCCAGCAAGGGCTCCCTGGTGCAGGAGCTCTGCTCATTGACTTACATCTGCAGGTTCCCATCTGCAGCCGCTGCCTTCCCAGGCATGCCGGCCCCATCTGCTCCCACCCCTGCTGACAGCCTGGCGTGGGGATGTGGGAGCAGAGCTCTGCCTCCCTGGGGTTTGCTTGAGTGGCCAGGAGGCATCTGGGGAAGGGACAGCACTCCCACCCCTGCTGACAGCCTGGCGTGGGGATGTGGGAGCAGAGCTCTGCCTCCCTGGGGTTTGCTTGAGTGGCCAGGAGGCATCTGGGGAAGGGACAGCAGGGCAGGGAGGCTGCAGGCAGGGACAGGGCGATGCTGGCCAGAAGGCCTCTGGCTGGCCGCGCCTGCCCAGCACCTGGGTTGTGCCTGGGGTCTCGCTGCTTTGGCCAGCTGCATGTGGAGGGAGAAAGCTGGCTGGAGAGCATGTGGGTGGGCGAGATGGGTGTCTGGGTAGGACACGTGGTGTGTGGGGTGGGGTGGTGGCATCCAGACAGGGGAGCACAGACTATGTGGTGTGGGAGGACAGGAGGCTCTGGCCGAGCCAGGAGGGGAGAGGTCCCAGCAAACACTTGTGCAGGGACCATGCTGGGCAGCGGTGGTGCCCAACAAGTTCCTTGTGAGGAGGGTTGGTGCCAAGGAAGTGCCACTGTCCTGCTTATCTTGGCACCCGCAATGTGCTGCTGCTACCTTCCTGCAGCATGGGGCAAGGGCTCCATGCTGCCATGCAGGGCAGCTGCTGGACTCACTCGGGCAGGGCAGGGGCAGGGCTGGCCACTGAGCCCTGGGGACAGGCTCTGCAGGTGTGGGCAGATGCAGTCTGTGTGTCTGCACTGGCTCTACTTGTGCTGCCCACCCGTGCCTACTCCCAGAGCTGCCTGCCTGGGTGGTGGCAGAGCCAATGAGCACCCATGGGTGGGAGGGTCCAGTCAGGGATCCTGGCTCCTTCTGCACTGCAGCTCTTTGACTCTGCCTAGAGCAAGTCTGCTGTTAATTCCCTCCATTTCTCCACAGTATCAGCAGTCCCCTGCGGGACGGACCGTTGGCAGGTGGGCAGCAGCAGGCAGCTGGCAGGCTGTGAGGAGTGGTGCCACATCTCCCTGCGTCCGTGCTCCCAACTGACCCAGCAGAAGGTGTGGCCGGACTGCGTGCTCCTGACTCCTGTCTCTCCTGCTCTGTCTGTTCCTGGTGGGCAAATCGGAGGCTTGGTGTGATGAGGATGCCCTAAGTCTTCACCCCAGGAGCTTCAGGCCTGGATGTTGGTGCTGCTCCTCCTGGACGATGTGGCTGATACTCTGGAGAAGTCCTCTCTTGCCCCGCATTCTGCAAGTGCCTGAGCTGGTGGCCAGCTGGGACCTGCGTCTCACCCTCTGGGTCCTGAGCTTCGCCTCGGCAGTTGTGCAGATGGAGGGCCAGGTCTACTCACCAACTGTCAACACGCACTATGGGAAGTTACGGGGGGTGCGCGTGCCACTGCCCAGTGAGATCCTGGGGCCTGTGGACCAGTACCTGGGGGTGCCTTATGCTGCCCCCCCTATTGGGGAGAAGAGGTTCATGCCCCCCGAACCGCCGCCATCCTGGTCAGGCATACTTCTCACCAGTCTGCCCCCAGAACATCCACAACGCCGTTCCTGAGATCATGCTGCCCATCTGGTTTACCTCCAATTTGGATATCGTGGCCACATACATCCAGGACCCCAATGAGGACTGTCTGTACCTCAACATCTACATCCCCACGGAGGATGGTGAGTCCCCGCTGGGGTGC